TCACTGAGGAGTTCATTCTCCAGACGTGCCACAACAACCTCGCATTGGACGTGTTGGAAGTAATGGGGACAGCACCGTCCGAAACATGGAAGGATATAAAGGTGCGCGGTGAACAGGCCGAACGTTTCCTCCGAAGGAAGAAGGCCGAGAGGAACCGACCGACGGCTAATCCTCTGAACTCGAACTTCGCATCTCGTGGTAAGGGCAAGGTACCTGCAGCTGCTGTTGGTGCTAATCGGACGCCACAACAGCAAACCCAAAGGCAGCAAAAGACTTCGGACCCGAGACTCAAAAAAGAGTATTCCTTCAAGGACGAAGACGTTCCAGCCATCTTCGAATCTCTCCTTGGAAGCAACAAGATCAAGCTACCACCTATCACAAATTAGGAGGAAGCTGACAACACGACGGATCCAAAGTACTATGCATACCACAGGAGGGTCCTTCATCCTACTAAGAATTGCTTTACTCTCAAAAATAGCATTCAGAGCTTGGTCGAAACTGGTGTCATAACGCTAGGGTAAGCCAATTGAGAACGGCAACACTCTGATAAGTATAAGAGTATAAACTGCTCCTTTCTAGATTCCGACAAGTATAAGAGTATAAACTGCTTCTCAATCCTCCGACCGGTATAAGAGATTAAACTGCTCCCTGCGACAAGTATAAGAGTATAAACTGCTTCTCAATCCTCCGACCGGTATAAGAGATTAAACTGCTCCCTGATACTCCAACATGTATATGAGTCTAAACTATTTCATTTCTTTCACGGGGAGTTCCTGGAGAATTTTTATATGTAATATTCTTAAGGATAACCCGGTCATGTAACTGAGTACAATGTCGGACCCAGTTCCACAAGGGAAGCTGGGGGTGGATTATTCATGTATCGGGAAGTTCCCGAAAGAATACCACGGGTGATATTCTTAGGGATAACCCAATCACTATAAAAGTGATAAGTAAAACATCCACATTTAAACTCTAAATGTCGGAATGTTTTCCATTATTGTTATCAAATTCACTAATTCTCATGAGTTATCTTGTTGAGACGAGATTCGATCCTTTTGACAGATTAATCTTTCCTCACAAAAATCCCCCACTGATCAAGTCAATTGACGGTGGGTCCACTAAATTTTCTGTCCGCCAATTCATGGCAATTTCCAAAGCTTGACGTGTTAAGTCCTGATTACTTAACGTCAAAACCCTTCATCGAGTGGCCAGCACAAACCAGTATTTCTACTGCTACTTGTATTCCACTCCCTGTCCGTTCGGTCAAACCTTCCTACAGTTAGGACCACAATCAAAATCCCCTCTCGATTCCTCCAATGAACGAGAGGTCCACTTTCAAATCGAGTGATCAAACATTCCTACATTTAGGGTCATCTCAAACTCCTGCTTGGTCAAACCTTCCTACAGTTAGGACCAAAACCATAATTCACTCTCGATAAACAAGAAATTTATCTTTAGTTCGGTAATCAAACCTTCCGACAGTTAGGGTTATCTGAATCTTTTCGATTCTCGGAGTGGAGATCCAACTCTTAGTCTCACCTTTCCGGATTCTGGGGGTGGAGATCCCACCTCGAGTCTCCTTTCTAGCTGAAGATAGAATATAAAATTCTTCTTCTTCAGTGTCGGGAGATAGAATATAAAATTCTTCCTCTCCCATTTCGGGTTCGTCTTTGCCCCAAGAGAAGACACCACCTTTTTCAAATCCCAAAATCTGTGCCTCACAGGTACAGAGAATTTTATCCCGAATCCTAAGTAGGGATAAGTCAACGCCTAACACGCGTTGCCGGTTTAGTCTTTCACCGATTGAAGAAGACACCAGAATTCCAGTCTAGGAAGTTTATCCCGAATCCTAAGCAGGGATAAGTCTGCGCCTAGCACGCGCTGCCGGTTTAGTCTTTCTCCGTAGAAAAAGACACCAGAGTTCGATCTTGGGGTATCCTATCCTGAAACCTAAACAGGGATAAGTCTGCGCCTAACCCGCGCTGCCGGTTAGTTCTTAACCGTTAAAAAGAAAACCCGCCCACATATTCAACATTGTGGCAGGTTGTTATTAATAACACCAAAATCCATGCCTTACACGCATGGGGAATTTCATCCTGAATCCTAAGAAAGGATATGCCGACGCCTAACACGCGTCGCCGGTTTAGTCTTTCTCCGTGGAAGAAGACACCAGAGTTCGATTCTGGGGTATTCTATCCTAAAACCTAAGTAAGGATAAGTCAGCGTCTAATACACGTTGTCTGGTAGCCTATTCCCGTAACAATGGCAAAGTCTACGTATTCGAAGTCGTAGCAGCGAGTCTAAGGGAATTCATTCCGTTAGCACAACGTTACATGCGGAACGGACTTAAAACAATCCGCATGTAAGCTCCGATTCAAACGGTAATCGGTAAAAGCATGTCAAATCCGTTGAGGGCTGAGGATTTGCCAAAAATCCTAAGTCAATGTCTGATACACGTTGCTGTTTAGTCTTTTCACAGGAGAAAGACGAAGTCTACGTATTCAATATCGTAGCACTAAAAGGGTTAACTCTTTTAGCATAACGTCACATGCGGAACGGACTTAAACAATCCGCATGCTAGCCCAACTCAAACGGTAGTCGGTAAAGGCTAATCAAATCCGTTAAAGGCTGAGGGTTAGCCAAAAATCCTAAAGTCAACGCCTAACACGCGTTGCCTGGTAGTCTATTCCCGTGAGAAAGACGAAGCCTATCGAAGTTGTAGCATCAAGCCTAAGGGAGTTCATTCCTTTAGCACAACGTCACATGCGGAACGGGTTTAGACAATCCACATGCTAGCCCGACTCAAACGGTAGTCGGTAAAGGCTCATCAAACCCGTTGATGGCTGAGGGTTTGCCAAAAATCCTATAAATACGAGAGTCACTAACGCATCAGCTTCATTTGTTGGTCTCGTGATTTGAGCATCCAACGACTTCAGGATAAGATCTGTATCCGCACACGAATCAACTTTTATAGTTGGTCCTGCAGCCCCAGCATTTGGGACCGCCACGCTCCAACACCTTAAAGAGCTTAAACTGTGTAGACCCAAGGTTAACGCGTGGCAATGAAAGTCAACGTACGACGTTCGAAACCCTAGGGTCAACGCCGGTCAACGCGTAACCCTAGGTCAACGCCAGTCAACGCGTTGCGATCAAAAAATCAATGTACGACGTTCGAAACCCTAGGGTCAACGCCGGTCAACGCATAACCCTAGGTCAATGCCGATCAATGCGTTGCGATCAAAAAGTCAACGTACGACCTTCGAAATCCTAGGGTCAATGCCGGTCAACGCGTAACCCTAGGTCAACGCCGATCAATGCGTTGCAACGAAAGAATCAACACTCCGACAAGTATACGAGTATAAACTGCTCCTTCTGATACTCCGAAAAGTATACGAGTATAAACTGCTTCTTAATACTCCAATAAGGTATACGAGTATAAACTATTCCCTATTTTTGGTTGAGAAGTTTCTAGAGAATATTTTTTTAAAAATATTCTTAAGGATAACTCAACAACACTACGCCGGATAACGCGTCTCAAATAAAGACTCAACGCCAACAATCAATGGTCGTTTCTATTTTGAAACAGCAAACAAGAGCTAAAAATCAGAAAATCAGGAATCGACTTCAAGTTCAAAATTCCGACAACGGTCAGACAATAAATGCAGCACCGGAACCCTTACAGACATTCGACAAAGCATCGAATAGCCTGAAGGATTGAAGGAATCAAGAACAGAAGCCATTCCAAGGTCCCGTTATACTGACTGAAGGTTGGGACAATCATATCCAAAGTATTCCAGACTCTTCTATAAAAGAACGTGACTGAAATACTTTGGAGGGGGTATCTGTAGGCGTATAAAACTACTTATAGGTCCCTTAACACAGCTCGGCACGACGATTCGACAAACCAACGAACCATCGGGTGATGTATCTAAACACGAGCGTTAATCCGCCACACCGAAGCCAAGTGACACGCGTCGAAGCGTATTAACGAGGCGACGAGGCTAACGAACCGCACGCAAACAACGGAATAAATCCACCCGCGTGCGGAATCAAGCTAACGGTTCGGTGAGTCAACGAGTCATCCAACTGTATAACGGATTCGAACTCGAACACCAAAGCGGGTTTACTGCCAAATTCGAGAGAGATCAGATCTGAGATCTACACGGTTTCCCTCCGGATCAAAACTTGCTTTTTGATCCCGAGAAGAGTCTCGATTTCGCTTGGTCGATTTCGATAACTACAGGCTATTATTTCCTTGGTGAAATAGTACCCCCGGCTGTTATTTCCTTCGTGAAATAGCACCCGTCATACCGTGTAGATCCGACCGGATCAAGATCTTGCGGTGGTCCACGGATTAACCCCGGCGCAGGCGAAGAACCCACAAAAGCGAGAGACCGCAAAACAGGATCTCGTGATTCGTTGGACATAAAAGGAAAGTTGTAATTTTCATTTTCTTTTGATTTTGTTGTAACCGGATCTTATAAAAAGACCGGATCTTTTGTAATCGATAAACTATTACTCAAGAGTGCAATGGAATCGAAGAACGCAATTTTTCCCGCGAACAGTGAGGTGCTACACCTCACATTGATTTTGATTTGTATGAGGTACTGCTGTCATCCTCAACTTAATTTTTATTTATGTGAGGTACTACACCTCACATTGATTTTGATTAGTATGAGGTAATATCCCTCACATTAGTTTTGAATTTTATGAGGTATTATCATCCTCACATTAAGTTTCATTTATAGGGCTTGTTCATATAATAATTTTTTTTATCTACAACAGCTAATGCCGTACAATGATTGTGTCCCCAAATTGTCTCTTTTGTAGACATGACCCTCATTTTTGGCTTTTGACGACTACCATTCAATTATTGCCATCCCAATTGCTGCTTATTTTTCTGAGTTTTTATATATTTACCAGCAGAACTTTCATCTTGGGTAGCTATTCTTCAGACTCTACATCAAAAGTCTTGTATAGATTACATGCAGGCGTTATGATATCTGAAATCAAACACAAGAAGTACAATCTCATTACATAGTTAAAACTTGACATTACATGTACACATATTGCCACTTCTAATCTGAAAAACATAGAACTGAAGAGACTAACAAGCTGCAGGTCCTAAACATTTCCCATACTTCACCAAAACATTGCTACATCACGGTGATGTTTTCTCTGGATGGGGAGGGTTGCCAGGAATTAGCGGACTCGGAGGCAATGGTATAGGAAATGGTGGGAAAATGGAGGCAGGCGGCGGTGGTGTTGGTGGAGTTAAA